AATGGACGTGGACAACAGGGGGATGACAGCATGAGTGGTGGTGAGGGAGGAGGATGGGGGTTTAATGGGGGGGATGAGGACACATTTGTAATACCTTAACTAATAAAGAATTTAAAGATAAAAAACAAAATATATATAGTTAAGAAAATAAAAAATTAACTAATTTGAAAATTTTATTTTTTTATTTCAGAGAGAAAGGGAGAAGGAAAGAGAGAGAGAAACATCAATGATGAGAGAGAATCATTGCCTCCTGCACACCACCCCCCAACCCCACTGAGGGTTGAGCCCGCAACCCAGGCCTGTGCCCTGGCCAGAAATGGAACTGTGACCTCCTGGTTCATAGGTTGACACTCAACCACCGAGACACACCAGCCAGACGCTAGTCAATTCTTGATTCTGAGTTGTGATCTCTAATTTCAAGCTAAAAATTCGAATTGCTTCTGTATCTTTAGTCCCTTCAGAACTTGAGTTCTCTGTATATAAAACTTTAATTTGTACACATAATCATTTACTGCGCAGTTTGCCTGCTTATCTTCCTCACTCTCCTGAAGTTCCTGCATTCAGACAAGTGGAACTAAAAGACAAACCCTGGTGTATGTCCCGACAAGTGGAGCTGAGGTTCACACCCCAGCAAGCAACATAATTGAAGGTTAGGGAACTGAAAAAGTTGTTTTATTTCCAAAGAACTTTGATGTGTTTGCCCAGAGTCACTTTAACCTCTCTGATACTCCATTTCTCATCAAAGATAATGATATTCTGCAGGTAACTGCTGTGAAGAGACCATGAAAAGTGAAAGCACTTTGTTAGATAGAATTCACTACACGAAATTAAGGGCTGGTTACTGTCAGTCCATTTTATGTCCCCTGTGATGGTGGTTGAGCTCCCTAAAGGGCAAGAACCATGTCTTATTGCCCAGTGGGCATGGCTCAGTGGTTGAACATCGACCTATGAACCAGAAGTTCACAGTTCAGTTCCTGGCAGGCCGTGTGCCCAGGTTGCAGGTTGGATCCGCAGTGTGGGACTTGCAGGAGGCAGCCAATCAGTGATTCTCTCTCATTATTGATGTTTCTATCTCTCCCTCTCCCTTCCTCTGAAATCAATAAAAATATATTTAAAAAATAAAGAAAAGTGTTTTGGGGGAGTGCAAAACCAAACTTCACAAATACCAATGGCCACTTTTTTTGACATACATACTTTCAAAATGACTATGTCACTTCTGTACATAGCCCTTTGTGATACACAAACAATACACCTTCAGTTTTACACGTGCACTGTTGTTTTTGATGGATTTGGGGATTGTGGGTGGCCATGGAATATCTTAGACACAGCAAGTTGTTAGATCACCAGCTCTCAAAGCTGCCACTTGCAGGTTTTTTGCTGGGTTCTGTTTATGTCCCATGCCCTGCCACTATGGAAAGGGGAAGAAAACCCAGGTTCTTGGGAGTTCCCACCCTGTTGGGATTTCCCAGCTTCTTTAAGAAACATATTTTAGCCCTGGCCTATAGCTCAGTTGGTTAGAGCATCCTCCTGATAAACCAAGGTTTCGGGTTTGATCCCCAATTAGAGCACATACAGAATCAACCAGTGATGCGTAAATAAGTGGAACAACAGGTGAACGTCCCCTCCCTCCAAAAAAAGAGAAATAAACACATGCTTTAAATGTTTATTATAAGCTATATACTCTAACAGAGGGACACAAAAATGAATATAAGAAACTGGCTATGGTGCACAGTCTGTATCTGGTGACAGATACAAACTTTTAATATTTCTCTTCTTCTACAGTTGAAAAACCAGTTTCAGACATACTAGTTCATTTATGTCTCAAAAGATCTGTTTGTTCTTATGCCAGTACCAGGCTGTTTTAATGGCCTTGTAGTATAGTTTGAGATCAAGCATTATGATCCCTCAAACTTTGTTCTTTTTTCTTAAGATTGCTGAGGCTATTAAGGGTTTTTTAGTTCCATATACATTTTTGGAATACTTGTTCTACTTCTGTGAAATATGCCATTGGTATTTAATAGGAAGTGTGTTGAATTTATAGATGGCTCTGGGTGGTATGGACATCTTAATGATGCTAGCTTTTCCAATCATAAACACGGTGCATGCTCCACTTATTTGTATCTTCCTCTATTTTTTCCTCAGTGTCCTATAGCTTTCCAAGTGCAGGTCTGTTACCTCCTTGGTTAAACTAATTCCTAGGTGATTTATTTTTTAAATATATTTATTGATTTCAGAGGAAGAGAGAAGGAGAGATAGAAACATCAATGATGAGAGAGAATCATTGATCGGCTGCTTCCTGCACACCCCCCACTGGGACCAAGTCTGAAACCCAGGCATGTGCCCCTGGTCTGTATAGAACCTGGGACCCTTCAGTCCGCAGGCTGACACTCTATCCACTGGGCCAAGCCGGCTAGGGCTAGGCACTTTATTTTTTATGTTGCAATAGTAAATGAAGTTGTTTTCTTAATTTCTCTTTCTGATAGTTCATTATTGGTGTATAAAAATACCACCTTTTTTTTTTTTTTCTCACCCGAGGACATGTTTTCACTGGTTTTTAGAGAGAAGAAGAAACATGGGGATGAGTGCCTATTTGTACCAGCCTGATGGGTGTGATTGGTCGCTTCCTGTATGCGCCCGCCACCGGAATCGAACTCCCAACCTAGGCATGTGCCCCCACTGGAAATCAAACAGGCAACCTTTCGGTGCACAGGACACTCCAATCGGGGCCAGGGCGCCACCGATTTCTGAGTGTTTATTTTGTGTAGATATTCCTCATCTTGATCCCTCAATGCCTGGGCTTTTAAAATATTTTTTAAAGTTAATTTCAGAAAGGAAGGGAGAGAGAGACAAACATCAACACATCAATGATGAGAGGATCATCCATTGTCTGCCTCCCGCCTCCGACTGGGGATCGAACCCGCAGCTGGGGGATGCGCCCCGACAGGGTATGGAACCTCGGCCCCCTGGCTCAGAGGTCGGCACCCAACCACCGAGTCTCGCCAGCCCGCAAGGGCCAGCTCTTAAGAGCATTTCAGCCAGCGCAGTGTCAGGCCGCAAATGGTAAAGTGCGGGTTCCGAGAGGTGGGCGGGATGGCCGCCCTCCTCCCGCGGCCCTAGAGGGTGGAAGGAAGGAAAGAACCGCTCCGAGGCCCCCGCCCACTCCAGCAGCCGGAAAGCTCTCCCTCGGCTCCGGAGCGCCCGGGCCTTCAGGCTCCAGGAAGCTGTGAGTCATGTGATTCCGGGCGCCTCTCACGTGACCTCCGACTGGAGGCCGGGGCTTGGGCCAAGATGGCGGCCTACCTGCAGTGGCGGCTTCGTTTTTTTTTTTTTCGTTTTCTTTGACAAGGAGGTGGTGAAGGAACCGCTGGGCAGCGATGGTCCCGCTCCCGGGCCCGCGCCTGCCGCTGGGCCCGCTGCTTCCAAGCTCCTCTGCCTCCCTCCTGGCATCACTGTCTGCGACTCCGGCCGAGGGAGCCTTGTCTTCGGAGATATCCTTCCTCTGGCGCTGTCCCTCCCCGACCCCTGCGGAGCCCCGCTGGGACGGAATCGGCCCCTCTCCCGTCGGTGGGCGCCGGGTGCCGTCTGTGGTCTGAGGGCTGGAAGAAGGCCATTCTCTCACTTGCCAACTGAGTCATCCCCGGCAATCGTTGAAGCTCCCCTGGCTTCAACTTCCTTATCTGTAAAAGGGTGTAAAATGCCAGTTTGCAGTAGAGTTATTTTAAGATCAAAGAAAGGGTGCAGGTTGGCTTTCAAAGATGAAAATGTAAGGTGTCCCTATCTCCGCTGCCCAATATCAGGGTGGCAGGTAAATGAGACTAGGAGTTTGCTGCTTTGTTCTTCACGGTGCTGCTTCCAGACTCGTCTCTAGGGAGTCCAGGAGATAATATGGACACATCCATGAAAATCTGAAGAGCTGCATGTATGTTAGTTATCTGGCTTCTGGTCTAAATGTAAGTCCCGGTGGAGAGGAGGCTCCTTGACTGCGCTGCACATATGGAAGGTCAGGTCTGGTTCTTGTCCCGCTCCCTCCAGCTTACGGGCTTCCAAGCCTACAAACTGCGGGTGACGCACCTGTACCAACTGAAGCAGCACAACATTCTGGCATCTGTTGGTGAGGATGAACAAGGCATCAACCCCCTGGTGAGTCCTGGGAAGGTAGCGGGAAAGACCCAGAGGTCTGGGAATGTTTGTTTGCTGGAGGGTGGTTAGCATTCATCCATCTGAGATCTGCCAACAGGTGAAAATCTGGAACCTCGAGAAGAGAGATGGTGGCAATCCACTCTGTACTCGAATCTTCCCTGCCATCCCTGGAACAGAGCCCACTGTTGTGTCCTGTTTGACTGTCCATGAAAATCTCAACTTTATGGCCATCGGTAAGCACAAAGAGGGCAAAGCTAAAGCTCCAGGATTCTTTTTTTTTTTTTTTTTTTTTTTTTTGAAAGACACTGTTTTAATTACACCGACAGACTCCGGGAAATAATTTCCAGATCAGAGTCCAGGATTCTTTGTAGATGTTTTTCAGAGTTGCTTCTACAGCTCATCTTTATTGTTTTCATTGGACCACCTTGTTCTGAGATATTAGAGTTTGGAATGGGAAAGGATTTAGTTTTGTTCTTTGAAAAATGAGTCAGTGAATACCTATGTCCATGTTAACCATTGGAGAAGCTGGGTATGGAGAGAGATCTCATCACTTCTGAGGCATGCTTCAAGTGGTCGTCTCCCTCTGTGCTTCCTGACCTTGCAGCTTCAATGAAGTAGTTTCCTGCTCTTGTACAGGTTTCACGGATGGCAGCGTTACCTTGAACAAAGGAGACATCACTCGGGACCGGCATAGCAAGACCCAGATTTTGCACAAGGGCAACTACCCTGTAACTGGACTGGCCTTCCGCCAAGCGGGAAAGAACACTCACTTGTTTGTTGTGACGACAGAGAACGTTCAGGTATGACCAGGACCTCCACTGTTAGGGGCAAGTGAGAAAGGCTTCTTTCTCCGTTGCTTAGGGAGCTATCACAGGAGCTGACATGAGAGGTAGGATTCTGACATTTGTCATCATGTGGCCCCGAGTCATTCGCTGAGCATATTTCTTCATTTGAGAGCAGGAAGAGTTAGAGTGAGGAGAAGAGCTCTGGGCTTGTAGGAAAAGACCTGGATTTTTTCTGACTAACTTGTGAAGTGACATTGGACAAGTTGCTTTACTTCCCTGGATCCTGTTGCTCCTAATTTATAACAGCCTACTCTCAGGAATAGTCTTTTGATAAAATAATAAAAGATTGTATTTCTCTTACTTGCAGAATTCCTGTAGCAGGTAGTGACAGTATATACAGAAGGAGGAAAGGTGGTCTCTGCTTAGTAGATGGGTGATGGCTAATGGAGAAGGCAAGCGACAGGGAAAGTCTTAGGGGGCTGAGAATGAGAAAGAGTTAGTACGGAGGTGGGAATACCTTTGAGAAGGCTGAGATGCCGCCGTCTCAGAGGGTGCCTGATAACCCCTTTCTTACTTCTCGAAGTCCTATATAGTTTCTGGAAAGGACTACCCTCGTGTGGAGTTGGACACCCACGGTTGTGGCCTGCGCTGCTCAGCCCTAAGTGACCCTTCTCAGGACCTGCAGTTCATTGTGGCCGGGGATGAGTGTGTCTACTTGTACCAGCCTGATGAACGTGGGCCCTGCTTCGCCTTTGAGGGCCATAAACTCCTTGTTCACTGGTTCAGAGGCTACCTTGTCATTGTCTCCCGTGACCGGAAGGTTTCTCCCAAGTAAGAACTCCGGGGAAAGGGAAAGGGAGAGGGCTGTGCTTGATCCCCAGAATTGACCTGATCTAAAAACCCTACTACCTGGATCCTGTCAGTCTCCTACTTTGGTTTTATGTAGATTGTGCTTACACCTAGAATCAGTTACAATGTTTATACTGAAAAATGTGTTGTGCTGCAGACATTTGTTGAGCAGTCCTGATGCCCTAGAATGTTCCAGAGAATTTTGGACATGGTATTGATTTTTGTGCTCTTTAGTAAAAATAAATTGGGGCAGAGGAATGAGGGATTAAGTAGTCAAAAACAGTCTCTCGCCGAAACCGGTTTGGCTCAGTGGATGGAGCGTCGGCCTGCGGACTGAAAGGTCCCAGGTTCGATTCCGGTCGGGGGCATGTACCTGGGTTGCGGGCACCTCCCCAGTGGGAGATGTGCAGGAGGCAGCTGATCGATGTCTCTCTCTCATCGATGTTTCTAACTCTCTATCTCTCTCCCATCCTCTCTGTAAAAAATCAATAAAATATATTTAAAAAAAAAAACAAAAAAAAAAAACAGTCTCTCCCCCTTCCTCTCTCCCTAAAATCAATCAATAAAAAAATCAAAGTGGCCATTGGAAAGGAAATAGAGGGGAAGCTGAGGCAGAGAAGGTACAAATGTCTGGTGCTTTTTCTTTCCCACACAGGTCAGAGTTTACCAACAGGGACTCACAGAGCTCCGACAAGCAGATTCTCAACATCTATGACCTGTGCAACAAGTTTATAGCCTATAGCGCTGTCTTTGAGGATATAGTGGATGTGCTTGCTGAGTGGGGCTCCCTGTACGTGCTGACGCGGGATGGGCGGGTCCACGCACTGCAGGAGAAGGACACACAGACCAAACTGGAGGCAAGGCCACCAGGTTCCCAGCGCTGGCCATAGGCACCCAGATACTGCTGTAGGGACAGGCTCCCAAGACACGTTGGCCAGAGTGTATCCTTCTCTTTGGGTCATAGCCTTACTCAGCTCCCTTGGGGTAGAAGTACAAGGTAAATGGCCTGGGATGAGGCTTTAGAGCAAGCATGTCAAACTCGCAGCCCGTGGGCCACATGCAGCCCATAATGAATATTTTTGTGGCTCAGCCAATATAACAGTATGTAAGAAATGTTTTAATAGAAATTTCTTAATTTTTACAATATCCTGTAATACATAATTATTAATAACAAACTATAACTGACTGATTGCTATAATCGTGTTGCAATCATTTCCCTTACGCGCAGGCGCACCATTTCTCTCCACTAACACTAGCAGCGAATATTTTAGCAGCCAATGGCCACATTATTAGTCTTGTACTGACTTGTTTGGTGTGCGCAACAGGAAATATTTCACTTTCGGAGAACAAGAGAATAGGTTTATTTGCTTATTTGTGCAGTTATTCAGTGTCTGGTAAGTTAATGTTCAAGAAAAAAATATTAATTTTTATTAAAATGTTCTATTATTTTATGTTAACGATGACTCATTTATTTCAGCCCTTTGTATCCAGCATGTCTATCGAAACAAACCTAGGTTTCTTTGAAAATTGAAGCTGTAGTTTTTTTTGCAGCCCACATACACTTCAACCTTTTTTATTTGGCCCGTGTTAGCCTTTGAGTCTGACATGCTTGCTAGAGGGAAGTAATGGCTAGGAGCCTGAGCCCACTTTCAGGGTCCACTCTCTGCAAAGAGCCTTAGGAGATAACCTGATGTTGGTCTTGGGGGTATCAGAGGTCTTACCCTGCTAGGATTTAGGCAGATAGGAACTTCAGGACTGTCTGGCATGTGTGTTGTGGGTTCATTCTGGGGAGGTGTCGCCTCAGGACTGCATCTACCAATTTTCCAATCTCTTTCCTTCCAGATGCTGTTTAAGAAGAACCTATTTGAGATGGCGATTAACCTGGCCAAGAGCCAGCACCTGGATAGTGATGGGTTGGCCCAGATCTTCATGCAGTACGGGGACCATCTCTACAGCAAGGGCAACCATGATGGGGCAGTTCAACAGTATATCCGGTCAGTCAAAGGGTGCTTAAGGGTTTTTAGCTCTGAATGCAGAGACAGGCAGCCAGGTAGACTAATACCTGTGCTCAGGGGAAGGGAATGGACTCCACCAGGAACCTTCCTTTTTTTCTGCAGAAACTGTGATGCCTTGAGGGAGAAGACAGTATGTGGAAGAGAATTTTTAGGGTGAAATATTACATGACCAGTATGTGATTGAGCTTAATGAACACCTATTATTTTAAACTGCAGTTTGGCCTTTGTTAATATTCATTTTTACCTAATTCTCCCACACATTCTTTCCTCGGTATTAATTCTTGGAATTTCCTGCCCTAATAAGGGGTGTTAAGACCCTTTCTAGCTTCTTTCCCAACTTCTCTAGAATTCCTGTTTTCAGCCAATTTTAAGAATTAATACTCTGGAGGCTTGTTACTCATGTGGTCCACAGTTTAGCAGCATCAATATCACCTGGGACTTCGTTGGAAATGCAGGCTCTCTCGGGCCTCTCTGCAGCCCTGTTGAAAAAGAATTTGCATTTTAAGAAGATTTGCAAGTGCCCGGCTTGTGTGGCTCAGTAGTTGAGTGTCAACCCATGAACCAAGAGGTCCCTGATTTGATTCCCTGTCAGGACACATACCCAGGTTACTGGCTCGATCTTGGTGTGGGGCATGCAGGAGGCAGCTGATTGATATGTCTCTCTCATCACTGTTTCTGTCTCTTTATTCCTCTTCCTTTCTCTCTCTCAAATCAATAAAAATATTTTTTTAAAAAGGAAGATCTGCCGAAACCGGTTTGGCTCAGTGGATAGAGCATCGGCCTGCGGACTGAAAGGTCCCAGGTTCGATCCCGGTCAAGGGCATGTACCTGGGTTGCGGGCACATCCCCAGTAGGAGATGTGCAGGAGGCAGCTGATTGATGTTTCTCTCTCGTCGATGTTTCTAACTCTCTATCTCTCTTTCTTCCTCTCTGTAAAAACTCAATAAAATATATATTTAAAAAAAAAAGGAAGATCTGCAAGTGATTCCTGTGCATGTGAAAGTTTGAAAAGTACACTGATCCGGCTGCTTCTTTATGCATGTGTCTCCCTAGAACCATTGGAAAGTTGGAACCATCATATGTGATCCGCAAGTTTCTGGATGCCCAGCGTATCCACAACCTGACTGCCTACCTGCAGACCCTGCACCGGCAGTCCCTGGCCAATGCCGACCACACCACCCTGCTGCTCAACTGCTACACCAAGCTCAAGGACAGCTTGAGGCTAGAGGAGTTCATCAAGGTGCAGGCGGGGGTCGGGGGTGGAGCAGAAAGGGTATCCCTTAAGGCCTCCACTGAGCACAAGGTGGCACCCCCAGGGCTTGCCCTTCTTCAGTAGGATGTAGGGAGAGGAAAGAGCTGATCTTATTTGGGGACCAGGAAGGACCCTCTGGCCTATAAACTGGGAAGAGGAATAGCGTTTCCCGCCAGTTCTCTCCTGTCTCCCTTCTTGCTTTATGATGCCAGAACTTCCCTCAGTATCTAAGCCCAGGGAAATAATAGTGGGGTACCCCTTTGTCCCCAGAGGAGTCCCTCTAAGTCAGTGATGGTGAACCTATGACACTCATTTTTTTGGTTGATTTTTCTTTGTTAAATGGCATTTAAATATATAAAATAAATATCAAAAATATAAGTCTTTGGTTTACTATGGTTGCAAATATCAAAAAATTTCTATATGTGACACAGCACCACACTTAAGTTAGGGTTTCTCAAAATGCTGACACGCCCAGCTCAAAAGGTTCGCCATCACTGCTCTAAGTAGTAGGGGCAGAGGAAAACTTTGGCTCTTAGGAACTTTCTGAGAGGCAGAGGAGCATACTATTTTAAAAGTGTGGACTTTATTATTATCTTAAGAATCTGGTCTTGAATCAGACGCATGTGTCCTGTCCTTTCCCTGACCACACCCTCTTCTGTGCGTGATGCTGTGTACCGTTCCCGGCAGACAAAGAGCGAGAGTGAAGTCCACTTTGACGTGGAGACAGCCATCAGGGTGCTGCGGCAGGCTGGCTACTACTCCCACGCCCTCTACTTGGCTGAGCACCATGCACACCACGAGTGGTACTTGAAGATCCAGCTGGAGGACATTAAGGTAGGGGAGACGCTTTTTTCCCCGTCATTTTCGTGGAGGTGTTTTCATGTGTGTGTTTTTGTTAATCCTCACCGGAGGATATTTTATTCATTGATTTTTAGAGAGAATGGAAGGGAGGGAGGGAGACAGACAGACAGACAGACATCCATCAGTGTGAGGAGAGACACATAGATTGGTTGCCTTCTGAACTCAGTGTCCAGGCTCATGCTCTAACCACTGAGCACACAGGTCAGGGCACTAGGGGAGACTCTTGACTCATAGTTCTGTTCTTTCTCTAGGACATTGGGAATGGTGACAGTGCTCTCTCCTAGTGGGTGAGACAGGAACATGCCGTTACTCTGCCCTTTACATCTCCACAGAACTACCAGGAAGCCCTTAGGTACATTGGCAAGCTGCCTTTTGAGCAGGCAGAGAGCAACATGAAGCGCTATGGCAAGATCCTCATGCACCACATACCAGAGCAGATGACCCAGTTGCTGAAGGGACTTTGTACCAACTATCGGCCCAGCTTTGAAGGTCAAGGTGGCAGGGAGTCACCAGGCCGCAGGGTGAGGCCCTGGGAGAATGGCTGTTGGACAGCAGGGATCACCTTTGGGGCATTTTAGGTACCAAGCTCACTCACTCCGCCTCCTCTCTCCTCCATTGCCATCTTAGGCCAACTCAGAGGAGTTCATCCCCATCTTTGCCAACAACCCACGAGAGTTGAAAGCTTTCCTAGAGCACATGAGTGCAGTACAGCCCGACTCACCACAGGGCATCTACGACACGCTCCTTGAACTACGACTACAGAACTGGGCCCATGAGAAGGATCCACAGGTGAGGCCTGGTAAAAACTGCAGGAGGTACTGAAGACAGTTCTTCCATCTTTCGTGGTTGCTTTGGCTGCCTTCTATAGACCAGTAACACCTCACCATTGGTGGGCAGATGGCCCTCAGTAAGGAGATTGGACTGAGGAGAAGAGTTGACTTGCCTTCCCCCAAGAGGCCTTGTGTCCAGCAGCTCTCCTCTCTCCTGCCCCAGGTCAAAGAGAAGCTTCACGCAGAGGCGATCTCCCTCCTGAAGAGTGGCCGCTTCTGCGACGTCTTTGACAAGGCCCTGGTCCTGTGCCAGATGCACGACTTCCAGGATGGGGTCCTGCACCTCTACGAGCAGGGGAAGCTGTAAGTTTGGGGAATGTCAGGGAAGCGGGAAGGGTCCAAGTAATTTTCCAGGGACAGCCCCTGAGGTGTGCCTGACCTCGCATAGGTATCAGCAGATGATGCACTACTACATGCAGCATGAGCAGTACCGGCAGGTGATCGAGGTGTGCGAGCGCCATGGGGAGCAGGAGCCCTCTCTGTGGGAACAGGCGCTCAGCTACTTTGCCCGCAAGGAGGAGGACTGCAAGGAGTACGTGGCAGCTGTGCTCAAGCATATTGAGAACAAGAACCTCATGCCACCACTTCTAGGTACTCGGGAGGACAGGGTGGGTGGGTAGGTGCCAACTGCTGAAAATCAGGGGCACTGGGGCAGAAACACTTCAACCCTGTCCAGTGGGTACTGCTCGGTTCATTGTTTCCTCCTGGACCCCAATCTCAGTGGTGCAGACCCTGGCCCACAACTCCACCGCCACCCTGTCTGTCATCCGGGACTACCTGGTCCAGAAACTGCAGAAACAGAGCCAGCAGATTGCACAGGACGAGCTCAGGGTGCGGCGGTATCGAGAGGAGACCACCCGCATCCGCCAGGAGATCCAGGAGCTCAAGGCGAGGTACTGGCATCTGGACAGGTGGAGGGGTCCAGGGGATAACCTTGTCCTTCACAGGGTGTCATTAAATGCTTTCAAAGACAAAAGATTATACGGAGTGTGTTTGAGCATTTCATGCATGAAGATATTTTATTGGAGGAATTCCAAAAAAGATTGTTATTTGTCGCGCTTTGGAGGATATTATCTAGTATAGGTACTTTTTGTTCTGTATTTGCTTCTCTGTATTTTACATTTTCTAAACACACATCTAAGTTGTGTAGTTAGAAGCCAGTCAGAAGTAAAAACTTTGCTTTAGAAAATACAAAGCCCTTACTCATTTGGCTCAGTGGATAGAGCATCAGCCTGCGGACTGAAGGGTCCCAGGTTGGATTCCGGTCAAGGGCATGTACCTTGGTTGCGGGCACATCCCCAATAGGGCGTGTGCAGGAGGCAGCTGATTGATGTTTCTCTCTCATCGATGTTTCTAACTCTCTAGCCCTCTCCCTTCCTCTCTGTAAAAACATCAATTAAAACATATTTAAAAAAGAAATACAAAAAGTGGCCTGGCCAGTGTGGCTCAGTTGGTTGATCATCATCCTATGGACCAGGAGGTTGCCCAGTCAGGGCACATGCCTGGTTGCAGGCTCAACTCCCAGTAGGGGGTGTGCAGGAGGCAGCCGATCAATGTTTTTCTCTCATTGATGTTTCTCTCTCTCTCCCTCTCCCTTCCTCTCTCTCAAGTAAATAAGAACATCTTTTTTAAAAGAAAAACGATTATATGTATATATAGTAGACATTAATGCTAACTCTTTAAATATTATTTGCCCTTAATATTGTAAAATGTTTATTAGAGAACAATCCCACAAATATTTACTGAGCCCCTATTATGTTCCTCAACCACTGAGCCATGCTGGCCAGGCCCAAGTACTGTTAGCAGCACAGTGGAGCTTACATTGTAGAGGTAGAGACAGACAGTTAACGTATTAAATAAGCAACATGTTATAGTATGTCAGATGGTGTTAAGTTCAAAGAAGAAAATTGAGGAAAGGAAGTAGGGTGAGGAATGTGTGTGTGAGAATTTCTAAGGTGTTCGGGAAAGGCCTCTCTGAAAGGGCCACATCTGAGTAAAGACCTGAAAACAGTTTTGTGGCAACTGTGAGGCTGAAAGAGAAAAGTATCCCTTGGGTGGTTGGGCCTCCTGGAACATGCTGACACTGCAGGCCCAGCACGTTGTCTCCTGACCTTCATAAGGTGGTAGGAGAGCAGGGCCCGGATCTCTCTCCTTCAGGACTCCAGCTGCCTTCTCTCTCAGCTTGGCTGTGGGCCCTGCCCTCACTGTTTGCCACTCCTTTCTGGTCTCCCTTGCCTGTAGTCCGAAGATTTTCCAGAAGACCAAGTGCAGCATCTGTAACAGTGCCTTGGAATTGCCCTCAGTCCACTTTCTGTGGACACTC